AGATTATACAAAACTAAATGATAGAAATTTTGCAACAACCAGACATAGTAATTCTTTATAGTAATTCTGCAAGGATATTCAAAATATCTGATTATTAGACAGTCACATTTATGAAAAGAAATAAACTAGCACTGCAATAACAAACAAAAATTTTACAAAAATTTCATAAACAAACTCAGAAGTTGTTAGAAAAATTTTACAAATATATTATTTATTTTAAAAGCCTAAAGTTTTTGAACTAGATAATATCTTTAACATAGATGAAATACCTATTTGGTTTGATATAGCTAGTAACTTTACTATCAATTCAAAGGATGAAAAAACAGTTCATATTTGTGCTAGGTAATGAAAAAAATAGGTTTACAGTTGTTTTGACATGTGCTGCAAAAAATTTATAATTTTTTTTTTTTCAGCATGTTTTATTTACTAATATTGTCATATATTTATTATTATAGATGGAACAAAGCTCTTTTTTATTTGTATTTTTAAGGGAAAATAATTATCAAATAATGAGCAAAGATGAATCCCAGATAGTATTGTAGTTTTGTTTCAAACCAATAGTTGGATAGATACCAAGTTAATGATAAAATATGTGAACTATTTTCATAAATTAAAACTAAAAAATGAAACTAGAAATAAACTAGCAACATTAGTATATAGTTCTTTTAAGAGCTATCTAGATGATTTAGTTAAAAGTAAGTTTTGTGAGTGTGGTTTTGAGCTGGCTGTAATTCCTGTAGGTTTGACTTGTATGTATTAACTGCTTGATATTGCTATCAAAAAACTATTCAAAGACAACTTGCACAAAAAATAGCATAAATAGATAGAAAAAGGTGATGCTAGAAATACTGCTGCAAGAAATCTTCGCCATACTTAGATAGGTAATGTGTGTATATAGGTTAAGAATTCTTAGAAAAATCTTTCTAATAAAATAATTGTAAATCTTTTAAAACTTGCAAAATTTCAGATGATTTAAATAAATCGAATTCTGATTTGGAAATTATTGATCTTTGTGATACTGATAATACTAATAATAATATTAGAAGAGATAAATATAGTGAATTTATTTATTATCAAAATACTGCAGAAATGGGAAGTTTTGTTGCAATAAATAATCTTAGATATAGCTTTCAAAATAGAATAAAAGTTGATAATGCTGATAAAAATGATGATATTAATAGTGATAGTTATATTAGTGATGGCTATATTAGTATTAATTAAGTTGTCAATAATGTATAATTAAGGTAATGTTGTGATTGTATTTTTATTTTAATATATTGTAGTAATATGAAAAGTAAATTGAATTGATGAATTGATTATTAGAGTAATATGAATTTTATAATTTTATAATTAATTGTGATAACTATTTGAAGCTGAAGTTATATAGAATATATAAAGTCATTAGAGCTATAAAATAAAGAATAAAAAAATGCTGCTAGAAAAAAAAATACTGCTAAAAAAAAAAAACAAGTAGGTCTCTTTGTGTTTTACCACTTTTCTCACTACTCTAATTCTAGTTACTATCTAGTTATTCTCCTAATCAAGATCCCCAATGCTACCTTAGGGGTTGTTGGTGCTACTTATATTAACTGAAGATTTACACACACAACCTTCAGATAATAGAACCTTCTATAATATCTACTTGTTACACATAGTGCTATCTCTCTACAATGAACCTCTTTTTGGAAATTCCTATTCCAAATAAGTACTTACTTGAACTTCCCATATGTGAGTATATTCAAATATTCATAAATAAACATATGGGGCCTTTGCAGTAGAAAGGGCCGAAACTCGGAAATATATAAATTTGAGATAATCATGTTTATCTTTTTCGGACTGATCCGGGTTCATCAAAAATTTTGTGATATGATTGGTTAGTTATATCGGGTAATCTCGTGATTTATGAGTCTTCTAAAAAGATTTTTTTTTAATATCTCAATTTTTTATTATGTAAACCAATTTCCATTTATAATTGAAAAATGTAGCCTGATTCGAAATTTATTTGAATCTTGAAAAAACTCATTTTTAATTTTTGGGGAGTTTGGGCCCTTTCTATTGCAAAGGCCCTATATTTACTAGGACTTGAACCCAAAACCTGCTTATGGAGGGTTGGGTGCCTAGACCACTAGGCTATGGGATTCTAATCTATAGAAATGAAGTATTTCTTAAATACCAGGAGCCACAAGCTAATACTAAAATAGATAAGCCTATATAATGTTTATACTAACTTCACGAAAGGTGTATATAAGCTTGGTGAAATAGAATAAAAGGTTCTAATAATAAAAAGCTATTAGAATACTACAAAGATAAAAAAATATAAATAAGAGAAGCAATAACTATACTATTCAACACAACTAAAGATGCCTGCTGATATTAGCCTACTTATCAATGACCTTTTGGCCACCAACCTAAACAGGTAATACCTTTCCCACCTCTATATGCCACAGCAGACCCTGTCAAAATGCAGATGCAAAGGACCTACCAAGCTATGACTAGATCCTCAAGAAGGAGAAACAAAATAGGTAGCTTAACTTATGCTTATTATTTAGGTGCCATGATTACAGAATTAACCCCAAGCAAAAGACAGCACAGAGAGCAAGAATGACTCTCCACTACTTCACTGCAACTATCTGCATTTATGAGTTGTTCAAGCTTCTTGGAGTTGAACAAATCAGTCGAACCACCTATATGAATTTGGCAAAAATCACAACATTAACTGTCCAGAACTTTCAGCAGCTGCTTCAGGTCTCTGTAACTGCTGCCTCTATGCATTCTGCACTTGAAAATGATTTAGATGAACATAACAACAACATTGAGGGCGATTAAAAAAAAAAAAAAAAATTTTTTTTACATATTTGTATTTTGTCTCCGTACTTGGTTCTTTTCTCGTGGAACTCGAAATTAATGTTGGGAGTGTGTAAAAGAGTGAATTGTGGGTTGAAATCATTTTTTGGCGTAGTAGATCGAGGTGGGCCGGAAAAGATCTGCCATATCTAACAGATCAGATATATCAGATCCGTCAGATATGTCAGATATGTTAGATGTGTTATATACGTTATATATATTATATATGTTAGATACGTTATATATGTTAGATAGAATTAGCGAATTAGATAATAGCTGAAAAATGTATATAAAGGCTAAGAGTTCGCCTTGAATAAAGCAATCGCTAGTTATCACTAGTTAACATTCTACGCATATAACTCATTAGAGTTCGACTCAATGAGAGTCTACCATTCCAGCTTTAAACATTCGCTATAATTACCCCCCGATAAGTTCAATTCACATAAAATTAGTAGTCTAATCTCGTGATCCCGAATTAGAGCCTCGTGACGTAGTCTATAGCTCTATTTGGCCCTAATAACTCGGACCAAGTCATTCCACTCCCTCTTTCGTGCCTTCCACCATTAGGGTTTAGGTAGAGTTTGGTTGTTAGAGTGTTGATTTAGATTAGTTTAGCTTTAGTTGATATCCGTGAGGTCCATATTTTGAGAGCCCGGATCGATTCTGCCCCTCACAATATGCAAGTCGTAGATTTCTGTTAGATAAGACATGTAAGATTATTAATACGTACATACGTACTAATACAAAATTGGAAATAATACAACCAGTTAACAGAAAATTATTAATATTCCTTCAAAAAAAATTAGTATAGTTGGTGCTCATAGTGTTGATAAATCTATTCTTGCAAGAATGATTAAATTCGTCATAATAATGCAATCTTTATTGATGAAATTGCAAGAGCTATAATAGAAAATTTAAATAGATGGGAATATTCATATAGATGATCCAGGCTTCAATGTGCAATAGAAGAGCATATCAAACATAAATTTGCAATTTTTGATCGATGCATTAGAAACCATAGTATATGCTAAGATTTATTGTAAAGAGTTATAGAAAAAATTATTATGTATGAAAAAGGTAATCAAACGCTTTGAATGCTATAGACAGCATAACGAATATATATTTTTTAATCGAGCCATAAAAAGAATATTTGGAGAATGATGGTATTTAAATAATAACAAAGGATATTAACGAATTAGTGACATTTTCTAACACCTCAAAAAGATAATGAATGAATTTAAGATTAAGTATCTTTTAATTACTGATATAGACATGAATCAATGATAGTCAAAAATTATAAGTACAGTGCTTGAGTATAATTAACCATTTTATGTATATATTATTATTATTTTATTTTCATATTGCTATTTCATAACTTCATCTTGATGATATCTGACAAATGATGAAACCTTTCTTCAAGAAATTTTTTGAATAATAAATTGATAATTATGAAACTTCTTTATTTTCACATTGCAAAAAAAAATTAGTCAATGTGAATTTTTTTTGCAATATCTTTTATTGTATTTGCTTAATTTCTATTTTTTTTTTTTTATGATATTTGTTGTTACCCGATGAGTCTGACAAAGAGAAATCAGATCATTGTGAAATTTAGGGCCTCAATTTAAATATATAAGCTCTACCAAAATCTACTTATACTATTTTTCTAATAATTCTAACCCTAAACCCTAACTTAACTATAAAAAAAAATCTGACAAAAAAGCCCAAAAAAAATTTAAAAATCGTACATAAAATAAGTTAAATTTCATTATGATCTGATTTCATTATGATCTGCCACAATAAATACTACATATTTTTTAAAAGTTGATTTTTGGTTAAGATCAGAAATTAACTTGGATTGATTGACTGCAGACAAGGTGAAATATGAAAAATTGGTTTACAGATTTTCCTTTAACATAGAACATTATCTACAATTATTATTATGATGTATCCGAGTTTGACACCAAATGTAATAATATCACGTAAAGGTATATGAAAATCAAAACAGAGAAGTAATAATGATATGATTTATTTATTTATAAGAACAATTTCATTGTTATAATGATACATGAAAAATATTGTATTACATAATAAATATAGTATTACATAAATAAATATTGTATAAAATAACAAATCCAAATTTAGATAAGTAGTTTGTTTTAAAAATCTTTTTTTAATAATTTTCTTTTGGCCGCGTAAATACAGAACTGAAAATTAATTAAAAAATAAAAGTTTAGAATACAGAAAAAAAATTTAAATCTAGGCTAGAAATAGTTTAAACTTACCTCATCAAAAAGAATAAGTCCACCCTTATTTATATCGATCTTGTTAAATTCTTCTTTAAGTTCTTCATCTGAAAGTCCCTCTAAATTAATGAGTTTATGCCCCTTCTTAAACTCTTCAAAAGTAATACGTCTGTCATGATCTACATCAAGTTTTTGGAAAATTTCGTATAGCTCATTATAATAATGAAGAAGATCAATAAGACGACCGAATTCTTCAAGTTGAACGTAGCCATCCTGATTTAACATTTTCGTTAGTTGAATATATGCTTCGAATAAGTATAATACGAATTAAACAAAACATACATTTGAAGCATCCGCAGCTTTATATGCTCGCATTATAGCAGGTTTATTGTCTTTATATTGTG